TTTGTATTTTTAGTAGAGACAGGGTTTCAACATGTTGGCCAGGCTGATCTCCAACTCCTGACTTCAGATGATCTGCCCGCCTCAACCTCCCAAAGCGCTGGGATTACAGGTGTGAGCCACAGCACCCAGCCGAAACCATTCTTTTAAGCTAATGTCTTGACGTGAGCTTAAAAGAAATTAAAGGAAATACACAGGGGCCCAAACGAAAGAAGAAACTGAAAATGGAGTGTTAATCACATGAACTGGTACTGTTATGGCAGGAAGATAAGCAGATGGACTCCTGGTCTTGGTAAACAAGAGTTTGACTTTTAAATTTATATAAGAAAGACATTTACAACTAAGATTGTGGTAGGCGGAATAATGGTCCCCGAAGATACCCATATTCTAGTTCCTGGAACTTGGGAGTGTGATCTATACAGCAAAAATAAATTTGTGGTTGTGATTAAATAAAAGATCTTGAGATGGAGAGATTATTCTGAATTATCTGGAATGGGGCCTAAATGCAATCACAATATCCTTACAAGAATCAGGTAGAGGGAGATTTGACTGTGGAGGAGAAAGCAGTGTGATGACAGAAGGAGGAAAGATTTGAACATGCTCTGCTGTTGGATTTGAAGAAAGAGGAAGGGGATCATGAGTGAAGGAATCTGTCATATAGCTGTAGAAGCTGAAAAAGATAATAGATTATTCCTTTAGAGCCTCCAGAGGGAGTGCAACCCTGCTAACACCTTGACACTGGACCAGTGAAACTAATTTCAGACTTCTAGCATCAAGAATTGTAAGAAGACATTTAGTTGTTTTAAGCAACTAAATTTGTGATAATTTGTTACATAAACCAAAGGAAATTAATACAAGGACACTTCCCATAAATTCAATATCATTGAAGAGTTATGCTTGCAATGCAAGAGAGTACTAGAAAAATACACTTACCAGTGCAGAGAGACAATAAAGAAGCATATTTCTTTTGGCCTGGGCTTTGTGTGAAATATGAGATCCCTTGATAATTCATTTGCTAATTCAAACTTGGCCTCACGTTAATTTAGAATTTATATTTACATTAATTGCATTGATGTGAGAACCTGCAAGTTAAAATGTTAATGTAAAAAGTGATTGCAGAATTTTTTATGTAAGAAAAAAAGCAAGAATAGCCAATATATCCTTCTAAAAAAGAACGAAGTAGAGAGACTGGGAGTGGCAGCTCATGCCTGTAATCCCAGCACTTTGAGAGGCTGAAGTGGGAGTACTGCTTGAGCCCAGGAGTTCAAGACCAGCCTGGGCAACATAGGGAGACCTCGTCTTAAATTCTTTCTTTTTAATTAGCCAGATGTGGTGGCACATCCCTGTGGTCCCAGCTACTTGGGAGGCTGAGGTGAGAGGATTGCTTGGGCCTGGGAGGTTGAGGCTGCCATGAGCCACGATCATGCCACTGCACTCCAGCCTGGCTGACAGAGTGAGACCCTGTCTCAAAAGATTTTTAAAGAAAATAAGAAAGCCTAAAATACAGTCATATATATGGAAACTTGATTTATGATAAAGATGGCACTGCAGAGAATTAACTTGAGATTGATCATGGATTTAAATATAAAAGTTAAAAATATGATTCACTTAGAAGAAAATATAAGGCAATATCTGTGCACCCTTTGGTAGACAGAAATTCCTTAGTTCACAAAAACATAGTAACAATAAGGAAAAGAACTAATAAATTGGACTTAATCAAAATTAAAAATTTCTTCTCATCAAAGGATAACATTAAGATAATGAAATGGCAAGCTATAGCCTGAGATAAAGCACACTGTATCTGTGCAGACCTAAAACATATATTTTGAAATATTTACATATTCTGAAAATATAAAAAGCTCCTAAAATTCAATAATAAAAGGTCAAAGAATCCAATTTTTAAAATGGGCAAAAGATGTGAACAGATACTTCACCGAAGAATATATACAAATGCCCATAATCATGTAAAAGGATCCTTAACATCATTTTTTTTTTGAATTAGGGAAATGTAAACGAAAACCTCATGGTGACATCACTTTAAATACTAGAATGGCTAAAATAAGCACTGACTGTATGAAATGGTAACAGTGGCTTATTCGTTAAACAATACATTTAGAATAAAATACTGGAACATAATGTAATATATATCTGTTGAGATGGGGATATATGGAGATAAAATGTTCCAAGGACTTTCACTATTAGAGAAAAGTGTTAAAGTATCAATTAACATTATTTATTTTATTTTATTTTTTGAGGCGGGTCTTGCCCTGTTACCCAGGCTAGAGTGCAGTGGTTCCATCTCAGCTCACTGCAACCTCCACCTCCTGGATTCAAGCAATTCTCCTGCATCAGCCTCCCGAGTAGCTGGGACTACAGGCATGCGCCACCATGCCTGGTTAATTTTTGTATTTTTAGTTGAGAGGGGTTTTCACCATGTTGGCCAGGCTGGTCTCAAACTCCTGACCTTGTGATCCACCTGCCTCAGCCTCCCAAAGGGCTGGGATTCCAGGCAGGAGCCACCATGCCCGGCCTAAAGTTATTTTATTTTATTTTTTAAGTCAAGGATGCATGCTGACTGAAACTCTCATACATCTGCTGGGAAAGTTAAATGGTAAAATTACTTTAGAAAACAGTTTGGCAATGCCATATATAGTTAAACATATGCTTACTATATAATCCTGTAATTCCATTATTTAGGTATGATCAAGAGAAATGAAAGCATATACTCACACACACTTATATGTAAATCATCCCAGTATCTTTATTCACAATAGTTAAATACTGGAAACAATCCAGATATCCATTACTGGGTGAATGAATAAACAAATTAGGTAGATTGCATTGGGAGTTATACCTGATGTAAATGACGAGTTGATGGGTGCTGACGAGTTGATGGGTGCAGCACACCAACATGGCACAAGTATACATATGTAACAAACCTGCACGTTATGCACATGTACCCTAGAACTTAAAGTATAAAAAAAAAAAAAAAAAAAACAAATTAGGTAATATCAATACAATGGAATGCTGCTGTGAAATTAACAGGAACAACCCACAGATAGATGCAATAACATGAATAAACCTAAAAATATGCTGAGTGGAGGAAGCCAGACACAATTGAGTACATACCGTAAAATATTTATACGAAACTCTAAGAGAAAAATCTAATCCATAGAAAATGAAAGCACATCACTGGTTACCTAAGACCAAGGAGGGGATGGTATGGGCACAAAGGAACCTTTGGGGAGATGGGAGTATTCTATAGATGATACTTATGAGAAAGGGCAGAAAGGGGTATCACCAGATGGTAGATGTCTCAAAGGAGCACAGGTTACAACAACACTGTGATCTGGTAATGGTCTAAGAAGTGCTAGACATCAAAGAAAATATGGATTGTACCTCTTGAGCTCTTGATTCTGAATTATCAACCACATTTTGAGAACCAAAACAGTGTATTCAAGAGGAGAGTCAGGTTTCAGTTAAGGCCAAAAGGGGTTTATGCATTCAGAGAAGAGGTTGAGAAAATAGGTGGACTCACTAAGTCATAGAGTGGCAGAGTTAGGCAGTAAGAAGAGTTTGTGATAAAAGGTTCATAAGGGTATGGGTGGTAGGGTCAGATAGGACTTTGTAAAACAGAATTAAGCCTGACTGAAAGTGAATTAACAAATATCCTTGCCCTTGTGGTGGTGTCTGAGGTAAACAGATATATGAAATGTGATTAATTCTGATTATTTCCTAAGGGGAGAATGGGTACTCATTTTGAATGCTGTAGTCTGAAATACCTAAATTTTTTATCCTTAGGACCTAACTCTGTATAAGGCACAAAACAGATGGTTAGCAATGTTGGAGAAAAGAAGACAATAAGAGCTACATTCATCATAATAATAATATATTTAATAATTACTGCAAGAAAAGTACGTTATTAACTCTGATGGGAACAAATATGGTATAGTGGGCTACTTAGCTGTGCCTGAGAATTAAAGTCCTTTCCACTCATCACAGATGTGGTTTGGTATAAGAGATACATGTCATCACGTAAGTGCACTAGAAGTGCTCAAAGGAGACGAGGGAGGACAGTCAGTTCTACCTGAGCCTTTTCAGAAATATTTTTCTAGTCTTGAAAGAGAAGCACTGGTGACAGGCTGAATATCTTTTAAAATGCCAAGAATCTCTTCGTCCATCCATGAAGTGTACCAAAGGCTTGATTGAGGGCCCTACCAGCTCTGACTAGCTAAGAGCTTTCAAAAAGGTGACGGTTTTAATTAAGCCCTAGAGACTAGAACTCTAGAAATCTCTACTGAGATATGGCACAGAAACACTTACGTTGCAATACAGTTCTCTCCATCTAAGCACTAGCAGCACACTGCTATGAATGTGTCAGAGTGGACAACTGCATTTGCTAATAACCATTAATGAAGTAGCTTGTTTCTCCCATTAAGTAACTCCTTGCTTGATATGATATGAAGGTTTTCAAGGCCTGGATCCATTCTCAGAGACTACCAGGTTACAGATTCAGAGTTTGTTAATAAGTATTAGCTATGTGGCAGATTCCTTACACGGCTTAAAATGTGTTTTGACTAATCACCCTTGATTACTCCCCGCCTAGTTGGTGCAAAGGTACTCCTTTAGGGTATTTCTGTTGAAATTGTAGAGTCTTTTGCAGTCTGGATTTTCATTTATATAGCAAATATATAAGTAAGGTACTACAGCAGACCAAGATAGAAAAGGAAGCCCCAGAGGCTTCAGCACACATGGTTGACCCTCTGGGTAAAGTTAATGGACACAGTGCCTTCTCTGCTTGATTTCGCATATAGCCTCTTTTGCCTCATTAGGAATTCATTCCATGTCCCGCTTGACCCAGGCTAAGGAGGCTCACTTTCTGCATCCTCTTCAGCATGCCAATGCTCAGAAAGACATTCTGACCATTTCCCCTTCCTCAAGTTTGAATGACTTTGTACATCTACTGCTTTATCAAAATCCTGGGGGACAGAGACAGTAGGGAATATTCATAAATGAGCAAAATGGAGACACAGAGAGAATAAAGAAATTGCCTAAGATACAAAGCAAGTAAGTGGGAGCACTCAGAACATCTAACTTCTAATGTAGTACTCATTGAGACTAGGAACACATTGCTAGCAATTGTAAAATTATTATGATAATATTGTTGTTAACACTAATTATACTATTATAATTAATTATATAGTATGACAACACTATTGTTCAAACAACAGTAAAGACAATAGTCATGTTAATTACAGAAGCTACTATTTATGGAATGATTACTCTGTGTCAGGTATACTATAGACTATATATATATATATATAATCTTCAATCCCCAACAAATCTCTGTATTATCTGGTGTTATCACCCCCCTTTTACACACGATAAACTGAGGCTGTCTGGGGTAAAACACCTTATTCAAGGTCATATTACTAGTAAGTGAGGTTGCCCAGTTTTCAGCCTAGTTCATTCTGACTCTAAAGCTTATACTGTTAATCACAATTTTATATATATAAATATATATATATATATATTCACATGCATAACTAAAATATGAAAAGATTAGAAAAAACGTAAAATATAATTTAAACGTAAATAAAATTTAGCCTTGAATTTAGAATAACACTCCCCCCAAAAAAGAATCAATTGATCTAAAGACAAGCTTGGATTTGGCAAAAACTCCCGAGAAACAGATTTCAGAATAGTTTTCATCGTTCACAAAGCCCAGTAGGGACCTAGGGTGTGATGCAGCTACAGAACCACTTTCCACAATAGTTTGCTGCATTATCAGAAGAGTGTCCAAAATTAAGGAAGTAAGCATCCTACTGAATTCTGACCATGTCCTGAGTCTTGGGCTCAGTTCTAGGCTATTCAGGAAAAAAAAAGCCAGGATAGGAAAGGAAGTAAACAAGAAAAGGAGTTCATGAGGTGAACATGAATCTCCATGTTCATTCTGAAGATGAGTAGTTTCGCAAGGAACCATAGCCCTTTTTAAGTCTCTGAAGGCCGGTTCTGTAGAGTAAGGAGCAGATTTTTTTCCTTGCATGGCCACAGAAGAAACTCCAAGATCGGTCTGTGGGCCAGTAGCTAGAAGAAGCCAGATTTCAGTTCGTGAGCTAGTTTTTCTCTAATTAAAATGCTCTCTTACAATGAAATGGGCTACCTGCTCTTCAATGAAAATATTTAAGCAGAAGCTAGAGGACAACAATTAAATGTAATCCATTGCAGATGCCTATATAGTCTTCTGCCAAGTGGGATGGGCTGGTTACTAGGTGGACCCATCAGATTTGATAGTCTGGTGTTTTTTTTGTTTTTGTTTTTTAATTTAATTTTATTTTAAAAGGGTCATTTTGAGTGGGGTAAAGCTTCTCCTTTCAAATAGGTAATCAGTGATTTCATCAAATAAGTTCTCAAAGTCTTTCAGTTGCAACTGGTTCTCATCTTTTCTCTCCTCAGGTGTCACCACTGTGCTTACCATGACCACCTTGAGTATCAGTGCCAGAAATTCTTTACCTAAAGTGGCATATGCGACGGCCATGGACTGGTTCATAGCCGTCTGTTATGCCTTTGTATTTTCTGCACTGATTGAATTTGCCACTGTCAACTATTTCACCAAGCGGAGTTGGGCTTGGGAAGGCAAGAAAGTACCAGAGGCCCTGGAGATGAAGGTGAGATATAGCAAAAGAGGAACTGAGAAGCACCCCCTGAGAGACCTGTATTGGGACCAGGAGTGGGCAGTCTATAGCCTGCAAGAACTGGGCAGGGCTATGTGCTATTCACTGGGGTCATCAATCCAATTCTCAACTGGAGTGCTTCTTGGCAACCTGGCATGTTGTCTAAGGGCAAAGAAAAGAGGGCAGGTATCATGGAGAATTGATGTCTTGTGGTGAAGGATCAAACCTAAATGTGATGCTGCTAGATTCAAGGGGGACCCATTGGTACTTACAAAGTCGCTCAAAGGCTTGGACTCTATCTTCAACCCAGAGTACAATCTCTAAGGCCACCTCTGCCCCTCTTTCCAGTATATTCAAATTATAGTCAAAACAAAATGATCATTTTTCCTTCTGTGTCTGCTTATTTTGTATTCTGTACCTGAGATGCTGTTTGTTTTTTCCCCTGCCTGCTAAAGACCTACTCATTCTTTAAGACTCAACTGAAATGTTGCTTTCTCCATAGAGCCTTTCTGGAATCATTCACAGATTTACCTTTTCTTGAGGCATGGGTGATTCTGATATTAAAATAATTTATTTGTATTAGTTTTTGTCTTCCTCTCACTAGACTTGAACATTTTGAGGGCAGGGGCTTGTCTACATCTTATTTCTAGCTAGCCAATATCCTTGCATAGCATCTGACTCACAGTAAAAGCTGAATAAATGTTGACTGGATTGGTGCATTGATGGGAATGAAGAAGAGAGATTAAAATCATTAAACCAACTACATTGATAGGAATAAAACGTGAACACAGTGAAATCAAGATTGTTGTCCCTGGCTGCTTTAAATAAGTTCAGGTCGCTAGAACTAGGTGAAGATTATCAAAATATGCTAAGAGGAACTGGCAAATGTGATCTCAGGACCATCCTGGTACTCCTCAAATAATCATGGAGAAGAGAAATGGTAATGATTTTTCAAATTGGGAGAAAATATGTATTGCATAGAGTATAGATTGATGAGTTGGCAAAATTTTTGAATAATTTTTACTTATTTAGATAAAATTTATTAACTCCTTGCTATAAATTATGAAGAAATAAGTGTAGTTCTACTTCCTTAATCTACTCTATCTACCATAGGATTTTTTTCGTTGGTTTTATTGTACTTAATCTAGTTGTTACCTTTGTACCCTTAAAATATATTTATTCCTCTATAACTTGGTTTATCAGCTAGGAACAGGGTCTGTTAGCCCCCCACCCACGATGAATATAAGGAAATCAGTACACCCCCACTCCTACCTCTTCTTCTCTCTACCAGTTCCTGTCATCTCCTTACTTCTGTTTGCTATACTACTATTGCTCCATTATTACGTTTTATAACACTTATATCCTTCCATGCTATTGTAAATCTTATAATTGTTCAGTCATAGTTCTACATTTAAATGGGTTCTTTTCTTAAAATCGTCCTTGTATCTATCATTTCTGTTCATTGTATATTTACATCAATTCCTTTTTTTAACTTTTAAGTTCAGGGGTACAAGTGCAGATTTGTTATATAGGTAAGCTTGTGTCATATGGGTTGGCTGTATGCTGTACAGATTATTTTATCACACAGATATTAGGCCTAGTATTCATGAGTTATTTTTAATGATCCTCTCCCTCCTTCTTCCCCCCACTTTCCCAAAGGCCCCAGTATGTGTTGTTTCCCTCTACGTGTCCATATGATCTCATCATTTAGCTAACTTCTATACGTTTCTTTAAGATGGTCTCATGGGAACCATATTTTCTTCTGTTTTGAATGTATAAAATCAATGTCTATTGTGTTTATACTTAAATAATAGTTGAGCTGTTGTACAATCCATGGGTCACATTCTCTTTCTCTGATGACTCCGTTAAGACATTAATTACAATACTCAATTGGTCATTTTCTTCCTTTTGTAACAAAGTTTGTATTAGTACCATGATAGTTAGTCTTCAATTATTACTTGAAGTTGCATTAGAGAAATTTTTTACTACCCTTGTTATGTATGGAAGTATCATTTGGGGGAGTAACTGAGAGAGTTGGCAGGATAGTAATGAGTAGCTGAGAATGAGTAGTAGAGAGTAGTTTGAGCATCACTTGTTGTCTATATAATCTCTTATGAGTAGTCTTCCCTGGAGTTGTGATTCTACTTCTGACTAGTAAGAACTTTCCCTTGTTCACAGGAAATCCCTCTATGTTGATACAGGTGTCTGTGTGCATGTCTCTGTGTGTGTTTGTGTATGTGCTTGTGCATGTGTATGCGTGTATAGTGTTATATTCTTTAATCTTCCAGTCTCTGTCTCCTCTGCCACTAAGTGGTAGTCAGAGTTCCAGGATGTTCTCATTACCAGCTTGAAAACTGATTTTATTTCAAAACAGGGATTGTTTCTTTCCTTTGTCAGGTCATGCCACACACTTTTGGGACACTATCCTTGACCAGAAATCTGGAGCAGCAGGTATCCTCAGTGTCATCTTCACCCTGATCTGATTTTCACTGCACTTCACTTTCACTTTCACTTCACTTAGGAGCCCTTACTTTTTGGGATTAAGGTTATAAAAGCTATTAAGTTTCACCAAAGATAGAGTTTTGGCTTTTATTTCTCATCTTACTGTTTTTGGTTGGTTCCAGAGAGGAAAAGTGAACAAAGATATCCTTACTCTGATATATATATATATTTTTAAATTTATTTATTATTATTATACTTTAAGTTGTAGGGTACATGTGCATAACGTGCAGGTTTGTTACATGTGTATACTTGTGCCATGTTGCTGTGCTGCACCCATCAACTCATCATTTACATCAGGTATAACTCCCAATGCAATCCCTCCCCCCTCCCCCCTCCCCATGATACGCCCCGGTGTGTGATGTTCTCCTTCCTGAGTCCAAGTGACTGGAAGTTCCCTAAAATATATTATTAAACAGATAGATATTTTAGGAGCAGTTAGCAACAATCAGTGATATACAGCTTGAGTTCACTAATAAAAAATTATATCAAACTAACCTCATGGGCATTTATCAACAGTTTATTGGACTAGTGAACCAGAAAATGTCATAGATTTTAATAAAACATTTGACTAACTTTTTAAAAATTATACCTCCATGAAGAAAAGGAAGCAGGCTGGATGTGGTGGTGGCAGATTGCTTTAGCTCAGGAATTTGAGACCAGCCTGGGCAACACGGTAAAATACCATCTCAAAAAGAAATTAATAATTATCTGGGCGTGGGTGCACATGTCTGTAGTCCCAACTAGTCAGGAGGCTGAGGTGGGAGGATCAGCTGAGCTCGGGAAGTTCGGACTACAGTGAGCCAAAATCGCACCACTGCACTCCAGCCTGGGCAACAGAGTGAGACGATGTCAAATTAAAAAAAGGAGAGAGAGAGGAGAGAGAGAGAGATAAAGGAAAGAAGGAAGGAAGGTGAAAAAATAGTACAATTAGGCTGATGTAGTTGGTTGACCAATTCAAATCAAATAGAATTAACTGATGGTGCTGGGTGCAGTGGCTCACACCTGTAATCCCAACACTTTGGGAGGCCAAAGCAGGCAGATCACTTGAGGTCAGGAGTTCAAGACCAGCCTGGCCAACATGGCGGAACCCCATCTCTACAAAAGTACAAAAAATAGCCGGGCATGATGGCATACTACTTGGGAGGCTGAGACGGGAGAATCACGTGAACCCGGGAGGTGGAGGTTGCAGTAAGTCGAGATTGTGCCACTGCACTCCAGCCTGGGCAACAGAGAGAGGCTCTGTCTATAAATAAATAAATAAATAAATAAATAAATAAACTGATGGAATGATAGACACCAAACTGAATGGAGGTCCCTGCGGATACACTACAGGACTTTGTCTTTGACCCTACTTTTTCTTTTTCTTTTTTTTTTTGATTTATCTTATTATTATTATTATTATTATTATTATTATACTTTAAGTTCTAGGGTACATGTGCATAACATGCAGGTTTGTTACATATGTATACTTGTGCCATGTTGGTGTGCTGCACCCATCAACTCATCAGCACCCATCAACTCATCATTTACATCAGGTATAACTCCCAATGCAATCCCTCCCCCCTCCCCCCTCCCCATGATAGGCCCCGGTGTGTGATGTTCCCCTTCCCGAGTCCAAGTGATCTCATTGTTCAGTTCCCACCTATGAGTGAGAACATGCAGTGTTTGGTTTTCTGTTCCTGTGATAGTTTGCTGAGAATGATGGTTTCCAGCTGCATCCATGTCCCTACAAAGGACACAAACTCATCCTTTTTTATGGCTGCATAGTATTCCATGGTGTATATGTGCCACATTTTCTTAATCCAGTCTGTCACTGATGGACATTTGGGTTGATTCCAAGTCTTTGCTATTATGAACAGTGCCACAATAAACATACGTGTGCATGTGTCTTTATAGCAGCATGATTTATAATCCTTTGGGTATATACCCAGTAATGGGATGGCTGGGTCATATGATACTTCTAGTTCTAGATCCTTGAGGAATCACCATACTGTTGCTTTTTCAAATGTTGTTATTAATGACTCAGATGAAGACATATAGGGTAGAAGACTCAAATTTATAAGCTGGTATTAATGAATATTGGTTGGGGAATGAGTATTTTCTGAATTAGGAATCAAATAGGATTTCTAATTTGAAAGGACAAGCTGAAATTAAAATATTAACATTTGCTAAATCAAATATAAATTCTTACACATAGGTACAAAAATAGATATGGGATTAAAAAGCGTAACAATTAAACATTGAAAATAAAATGCTAGGATATGAAGAAAATGCAAACTAATGTACACCTACTTTGTGGTACAACTCTTGAAAAGCTCAATTTGATTTGGGTCTGAGTTAAGAATCACCTAGAACTAGTGAGGAGATAAGCCCTTTTTATTTTGTGCTGTTGGGCCCATAATTGGAGTACACTGTTCCAGTTTGGTTACTACACTAGAGGAGGGACAAATGCCTCAGGAGGATGATTATTGCTATTTTCAGATACCTGCAAG